AAAGAAAAAGGTTTAAATTTCCCCCAGTGCTTACACACTAATTGTTTTCCATAGATCCTTGCCCTAAAATCACACAACTTTACACCCACCGAACACCTGAAGAAGAAAAATCAATGGTTATCAAACCAATCCAATTGGCAAGAATTCGAATTGTTCTATAGAAATGTAAAAGCCAGGGCCCAATTTTTAATTGATATATAAATGGTCATCTCAGTGAGTGTTCTAACCACAGTATCAACAATCAACTAGGACACAAAATGAGGGGTTAGTTGGAATTTTAAAACAACCTTAACATGGTACATTGCAACTATTATTCACAGAGCTATATTAGCAAACTTTGATGGGCTAGAAAATGCAAAGCATCATCAAGGTGCGAGTCCCTTACGAAAAAAAGGTAAAGCTAAATGAAAAAAAAATTAATGCTGAATCAGTTTCGAAGAAATTGAAGCAATCATCAAGGTGCGAGTCCCTTATGAGACTTTGAGATGCTGAACCTCATACAACTGATGCAAGTGAAATTCCTAACTAGAGTGGGATCAGACTGCAAAATAATCACCTGCAAACTCAGGTCTGCTCAGCTTTAGATGCCTTCAACTTCTCAAGTTGCTTTCGGAGGTAGGCCTGTTTCAGTTTTTCTCTTCGAGCAGCAGCTTGCTCTTGTCTGCGCATTTTGAGCTCGGACACTTTTTCTCGTTCTTTATTTGCTTCTTCATGAACCTCCCTGAGAATGGAAGAATAGTCAAATACTAATCAGGAGGACTAATTATCACATGAACTAATAAAACATTCATACATTATGTTCCTTAATGATACTCTAGTACTCTACCTTTATGAATACATGCAATGAAGGCTATGTTTGGTAAAACTACTTTATCAGATAGCTTATAGCTTATAAGTGATTTTCGAGCTTATAACTGAAAAGCTAGTTTATATGATATAAGTGTTTGGTAAAATTAGCTTATAAGCTAGCTGAAATAAAACTTTCAACGAGCTTATTTGAAAGGTTACCCAAAGAAGCTTATGAGATAAGCTCGAGTTTTTTAAAAATGTTCGTCCTACCAAACGAAGCTTATTTGAATACAGGAAGCTTATAAGCTAACCAAATAAGCTATAAGCTACCTTATTTAGTTACCAAACATAGCCGAAACCCCACAGTATGATTCGGAAATGGTGTGAAATCATGGCAAAACATGAACATGTCATCAAAAGATCTTCTAAAGAATCTACTTACAAAACAAATAAAAGGTACCCAACTAAAAAACCGTAGGACTACTCTATTCAAAAGTTGAACAACAAACAATAAAATCTTTTGATTTTACGAAAACCAATGCAACAAATAAACCATAGAATGCCAGCTAGAGGGGACAGAAATTTTACATTACAAAATGCTTATGTTGACTTCTGTCAACCGTAGCCGAAGCTCGTCCAAGCCCTGCAGCTTTTGTACTATTTATGAACATATCACCACAATCCGTGTCTTCGGACTGTGGTGCAGAGGCATCAGATTGTTGAGGCATGTGGGACACATCCTGCTCTAGACCCTTCCGGAAGAAGTCAACACAGTACTTCTCCTGATCTTCTTCATCGGACAATTCTCCTCTCACCAGTTTATTATATAATTCCGCTTTCCTCTCCAATGCTGCATAGCTTGCTGAACCATCCTGGACTGCTTTTAGTTCAAGCTTGTCCCTAAAACAGTTGACATAGGTTTCAACTATCAGACTCAATTCCAGTGAAACATTTCTTAATGATCTTAACATAAGAAATCAAGGGCATGGTATTATTCTCTACTCAGTAAGATGCAGTGAAAAACTTTGTCCTCTGTAGATGTGCAGAGAACTTCACAATGTTACGAGAGAGAGTGGACAAGAGAAACTCGAAATATCTTCTACAATTCAAAATACATTTCCTTCTCATACCCAAGATCTTAAACCCTTTCCATGTTTTCAGGTTATTTTAGCAACACTTAAAAAATCACAAAAACTGAAATTTCATCAAGCAAATAGCAAAAGAGATTTTATTTTCCAAACACAGCAATCAAAAGTAGGGGACTTTTATATTGCATCCTGCTTACACCATCAACTGAGAGCCCCTCAATCAGAATTAACTCAACATTCTCAAAAGGCAGACGAAATTCAACACAATTCTTGTAGATTAGAAATCCCTAATTGCTGAAACCCTAGAACCCGATTCGTACACATCCATGTACACAAGTAATGGCACGAATTTTTCTTAACACGCCCTCATCACTAGCACCCCAAAAACTAACGGTTAACTCAAAATCAACAATAACTGCAATGGACACAAAATTATAATGAATTGATGTACTTGGCAGCACGGGAGTCGACGCCGGAGTTCTTGGCGGCGAATGAATCGTGTGCGGCGATCTTCTTCTTGGCGCGGTGCACCTCCAGGTGATGAGCGTAGCTGTGATCGGCGGCGTTTACGTGCTCCTTAGGGTTGCGCTTGGACTCCTCTTGGGATCTGTAGAGCTGAGCTTTGAGCTCGAGGATGGAGGAAGCTCCAACTCCTTCTATGGCGCGTTGCTTGCGAGGCATGATGGAGGATTCCGTTAGCCATCCCAGCGAGTCCGCCGTCCTCTTCTTCACGTCCGCCGGTTGTTCTTCCGGCATATCTGTGTCCCTGTGGTGAAGTTAATTACTTTGATACCAAAGCCTGCAAATGTTGTGATGTTAAATTGGGGGAAAATCAAGTTTATGTTTTTGGGAAAAGGCTACGAATGGTCCTTTAACGAGACTGTAGCCTACTAATATAATCCCAATCCATTTGATTCAATGCAATTGAAAATATAATTTTTACTACTAATAAGTTGTAATCCCATCCATTTGATGAATGCAATTGAAAGTTGATTTTTTCTTTTTCTTTTTCTTTTTTTTTTTTATTGAAATTGATTCACTAGATAAAACTGAGTTTAGGTTGTAAAAATTTATAGGGTGTATTTTGAGTGATGTATGAGACTTTTTAAGATTTAGATAAACATATAAAATCTTAAGTTCGATATGAGATTTGAAGTGAG